TTGTAGTTGAGCCTTAATTGCTGTTGGTATCACTGGGAGGAATTGACCTCCATGCCAATTGGCTGTAAGGACCAGCTGTGTCTACAGTGAAAGAGCTGCTGTGCAGGATTTGCTTCAGTGGGGCTTTGGTGCTCACTGAGTCTGCCTCTTGAGTGTGTCACTTATGGATGTGAAGAGTTGTAATCTGGTATGGTCTCGCACTGACCACTGGGTACACTGGCTCTTGGATCTCCAAGGAGGTGCAGGGTCAGCCACTACTTGGGGCCACCCAGCAGTAGCTACAGAGAGATCTGCAAATTCCTCCTCTTTGTATCGGGTTTGGAAGTGCCCAGACGAGGCCCAGCTGTGAAGCAAGGCAGGCTGGTGCTGGTGTGGCCTTGGGCCTTCTTTTGATAGCTTTGGGGCTCCCTGACCCAGCTGCAGTTTGTTTGACAGGTTTTAGGCTGAGAAAGGACAGGCCCTTCATATGCAAAAGCTGCTGCACACAGCTTGGGTGGGGTTGTAAATTGGGTAGGTCAGGGTCTCAGGGATTCTCCAGGGCAGAGCAAACAGCAATGGCTGCCAGTCAGCCCTGCACCAGGGAGGTCCCAGCACAGCTCACCCTTGTGAGCACCTCCATCTGGAAGAAAGCCGCTCCCGTGTTCTTGCCCCAATGCCAGACAGTCCAGTTCTCCCCAATATGTGTCTGGTCCCCCCGAGTCTCGCCTGGCACTGGAGCTCAGAGCAAGCAGGAGCTTGAATCTCCCTCCCGATTAAAAAAGTGGCACACCCGGGTGCCAGCTCATTCTGCGCCTCCGCACCTCCTACCAGTCTCAGGGTGCTTTTTTCTTTACCTCTCTAGTTGTAGTACTTCCACTCGGCCAGCTTTCCTGCTGTTGTGGATTATAGTTATTATGTATTTTAGTTGTAATTTTGATGTGGTTGTGGGAGGCAGCAAGTACAGGTGTTTACCTATGCCGCCATCTTGGTTCTCCATAGCATGATGCTTTTAAAGTCCAGCTTGTCAGATGTGAGTATTGCTACTCCAGCTTTTTTCTTTTTCTTTTCCATTTGCATGGAAAAATTTTTTCCATCCGTTCACTTTCATCCTGTGTATCGAAATTCTGTTTCTTTGTTAGATTTCTGGGTCTCATCATTAGTAACAAAGAAACAGAATTTCTGGAGGATGAGGCCCAGAAATCAGGATTTTAAAAAGATTCCCAGGTGATTCTAATGTGCAGCCAAGGTTGAGAACCACTGCTCTATACACTTTCTCTTTTGCCTTTGCTAATATCACAGAATTTTTCTTATCCCTTGTGAGGCAGTAGTTGCCTGAGTTTTTTATCCTTACACTACTGTCCCATGGTATTTAACATTAAAAACAATAGAATGGTTAACAGATTCTTTTTTAAAAATATATTTTATTGAATTTTTACAGAGAGGAAGGGAGAGAGACAGAGAGTTAGAAACATCGATGAGAGAGAAACATCGATCAGCCACCTCCTGCACACTCCCCACTGGGGATGTGCCCGCAACCAAGGTACATGCCCTTGACCGGAATCGAACCTGGGACCCTTGAGTCCACAGGCCGACGCTCTATCCACTGAGCCAAACTGGCCAGGGCGGTTAACATATTCTTGCTCAAAACAAAAGGAGGGGCCAATAAACCAGACACACCCTTGAAGAGATGCTCAATACCTTAATCATCAGAGAAACACAACTCAAAACCACAACAAGACGTTTCACACCCACTAGGATAACTATAATCAGAACAACAAAGAATCCAAGTGCTTTCCAGATTTCTGAGGAAAAGGAACTCTCACATGCCACTGGTGGAAATGAAAAGTAGTCTGGCAGTTTCTTAAAAGTTAAACATAAAAAAAGAAGTTAAACATAAACTTACCATATGTCCTAACAGTTCCACTTCTAAGTATGTGTATATCCAAGAGAAATAACATATGTCCACATGCTTGTGCACAAATGACCACAGAAGCATTATTCACAATAACTAAAAAGTGGGAACCACCCAAATGCCCATGAATTGGTAAACAGATAAACAATCTGGTATATTTACAAGTAAAATATTTTTTGTTGTTGTTAATACTCACCTGAATATTTTTCCCATTGATTTTTAGAGAGAGTGGAAGGGAGGGGGAGATACAGAGAGAGAAACTTCAATTGGTTCCCTCCCGCACACCCTTGATGGGAGTGGAATCCTCCCTGATCTATGGGCCGACGTTCTAACCATTGAGCAACTGGCTACGGCAACAGTGGAGTACTATCCTATCTAATAATAGACAAACATGGTAATTAACCGTAACTTTGCTACCCTTCCCATAGGCTAATCAGGGCGATATGCAAATTTACTGCCAACTAAGATGGCGGCTAATTTGCATACTACAGGCAGGGCGGGACAGCGCCATCCCGCCTGCCCCGCTGCCATCCAGGCCTGCTATTTTCGACCCGGTCTGCAGGCAGCAGGTATGAAAACAGACCCAGGGCTGGCAGTGGGACCGCAGCGATCGGCCACCGGCCACACCCACAAACAGCCCTCCAGTGGGGAGGCTGATCGGTGCTAATGCAGCGATCTGCCACTGGCCACGCCCACAAACGGCCCTCCAGGGAGGATCCCTGGCTGACCGGTGCTAACTGCACTGATCCGCCACCAGCCACACCCACAAACGTCCATCCCAAGGGGATCCGAGGCTGGAGCCTGCCCCTCTGGCATCTGGGCCTGGTATTTGCGACCCGGTCTTCAGGCGGCCAGTATGAAAACAGACCCAGGGCTGGCAGCAGGACTCCAGCAATTGGCCACCGGCTATGCCCACAAACGGCCTTCCAGCAAGGATCCCCGGCTGACCAGTGCTAACCCCCTGATCCCCCACCAGCCACACCCACAAACGTCCATCCCGAGGAGGGGAGGAGGGGATCCGAGGCTGGCGGGTGCTAATGCACCAATCTGCCACTGGCCACGCCCACAAACAGCCCTGGAGGGGGGAATCCCCGCCTGACAGGTGCTAATGCACCCATCTGCTGACAGGTGCTAATGCACCGATCTGCCAAAACGCACACCCGCACACCCGCACACCCGGCGCCTTTGCCTTGGGAGAACTATGCAGCCGGGAGAGGGGAGTGGGGCCGCTGGGAGCAGGGTGTAAACTTCCCGGGGTTTGCCTCAGGCAGCCCATAGCAGAGTGCTAACTATCCCTGCCGGTAGCTGCTTGCTCATTCACTTACTCGCTCATTCATTCACTTACTCACTCATTATTCACTCACTCAGCAAACCCTCTCAGGTCCCTGGCACCAGGCCAGGCACTGAAGTTGAAGCAGGATAAGACAGAGCTATGTCCTCAAGATGTTAGTAATTCAGTATGCAGCCAGGAGAGGGGCCCCAGGCCGCTGGGAACAGGGGGAAACTTTCCCAGGGTGGGCTTCAGGGAGCCAGGAGCGAGGCCGGAACTTCTGCCGTGTTGCCATGGCAACGCATTCCCCCCCTTAGCTGCTTGTTCATTCACTTACTTGCTCATTCATTCACTCATTCACTCACTCACTCACTCACTCACTCACTCAGCAAACCCTCTCAGGTCCCTGGCACCAGGGCAGGCACTGAAGTTGAAGCAGGATAAGACGGAGCTATGTCCTCAAGATGTTAGAAATTCAGTATGCAGCCAGAAGAGGGGCTCAGGGCCACTGGGAGCAGGGTGGGAACTTTCCAGGGGTGGGCTTCAGGCAGCAGGAGTGGGGCGGGAACTTCGGCCGCGTTGTTATGGCAATGCCGCAGAAGTTACGGCCCTATAGCTGTTTGCTCGTTCACTCATTCACTCACTCATTATTCACTCACTCACTCTCTCACTCACTCACTCAGCAAACCCTCTCAGGTCCCTGGCACCAGGGCAGGCACTGAAGTTGAAGCATGATAAGATGGAGCAATGTCCTCAAGATGTTAGTAATTCAGTAGGGCGAAGCAGGCACATGAATGAGACAGTTGTATGCACAGATGCAGTGTACTGGGTTCTGTGAGGGCTGTAACTAATGCCGACTTTGTTCTCTTGATAAAATGAAGCCTCGGGAGCCAGGCCGCCCCAAGCCTGTAGGCCTGTGCCTAGGCCAGGAGTGGCCGGGATCCCGGAACATGACAGAGGGTGCAGGTCGGGCTGAGGGGTCTGGCCCCACTCCTCACCCCCGAGTGCACAAATTTTTGTGCACCGGGCTACTCGTCTATATATATAAAAGGCTAAGTGTCTGTCCATCCAACCAGTAGCTATGATGTGCACTGACTACCAGGGGGCAGACGCTCAATGCAGGAGCTGCCATGACGCGCACTGGCCGTTTACTAGTAAAATAAATGGCACCACGGACCTGGCACCGACAAACCAACACTCAGCTTCCCCCACGTGGGACACAGGCCCTGCCACCACCCCGGGTGACACCCCACCAAATCGCAGCCAACGCTGCCAAGACCCCATGGCACCAAATTCGGTGCCCAGCCCAGCCCAGTCCGGAAATGGTGGCTGTGGGTGCCGAGTAATGACATGAGTAATGACGTCCCATAGCAACGCCCTGCTTCTTCTACCTAGCGACTAGCCCCCTTGGAGTTTCTTCAGCCCAGGAACCCCACTTGCTTTATAGCCAGGTGCAAACATTTTACAGTTTTTTTGCCTTTGAAATTGTCTTTATTTCTGAACATTCCTTTATAACCATCCACCCCAGGATTAACTCCCACAGATGCACCTTCCCAAATCCCCCCCAGCCCTCCTCAAGCAAATCAGATGCATGTTTCTGATTGTAGGACACTTTGCCTTTGCGGTCCCTCAAACTCCCCAACCTTTGCCCCTGCAATCCTGTACCCGAGCTGGGTCCCTCCCTTTCCCCATTCACACTGAGCATGAACCTGAAACGTGAGTGGCCCCTGCATACTGCACCCCAGTCCGAGGTTTTAGCTTCCAGGGGCCTAGAAGGAAGCCCTTGTTAGGTGCACCTGGTGAGCAGGGTCACTACAGGGGCACATCACGGGCTCCACGTCATGAAAATGCCACGTGATAAAACTCCCTATGTCTACAGTGCTTGGTGGCAAGCAGGATTCTCCTGGGTCGTCCTAACTCCCTCAGTATCCCCGTGAGCTCAGCCTGGATCAGGGCAACTCTCTCCTGGTCCACAGTCCCCCGGGTCCTGTAACACTCCAGGGGAACGGGGTACAGCTCGAGCTGTAAACTGCGCAGCCCGGTTGTGTGGCGCAGCAGCTTCTCCACGGTGGCCACGGGGAAGTTGTTTATAGAGATGGAGAAGAGGCTGAGCTGGTGGCAGCGGCTCAGGGCAGGCAGGATGGCCTCGACTTGGGAGCCCGCCATCCCACAGTTATCCAGACCCGGGTCCTGGAGGGTGGGTGCCACTGCCTCCAGCAGAGCTCGCAGGGGCTCGGGACTGAAATCCGCAAGGCTGAGGCCAAATAGATCCAGGATCTTCAGCTGCCTGAGGTTCGGGCACTGGAACAGGTGTGTCAGGTCTGAATGCGTCAGCCGCTGGCAAAGTGTTATGGAGAGTTTGTCCAAGGGAGTCTGCAGGCACCTGAGCATCTGGTCCAGACGGCCTCGGAGGAAGGAGGGAGAACGCATGTCGAGCTCCCGGAGGTGCCGCAGCCTGAGCATCTGAGAGAGGAACTGGGAAAAGGGCCGCTGCTCCTCCTGCCTTTCCACCTCCTGCTCCTCTGCCTCCTCCCACTCCAACTCCCCTTCGTCCTCCCACTCCTGCTCCTCTTCCTGTTGTTCTTCTTCCTCGCCCTCCTCCTCCTGCTCTTCGTCCTCATCCTCCTCAGCCAACAATTGGATGTGGGGGAGAGAGAGTCTCTGCAGGTTACTCATCTGACCCAGGTAGAGAGCAAATGTCCCCAGGGTGGGCAGGTCCTAGGTGCAGTGCACTTCCACCTCCTGGATGCAGTCCAGCTGCACCCCATCCAGGACCCTCCTGACCCTCTGGAAGGGCACCCCAGAAATCCTCACTGCCTTGCAGCACAGGTGTAGCAACCCTTCCCTCTGCTGGGCCCATTGGATGATGTGCATGGAAAACTTATCCCGGTCCCTTTCATTGAAGTTAAGGTCTAGGAACACCTCCAAGGGAGCCAGGGGATGCTCCATGTTGGGGCTGGAGCTATGCACAGTCACTGGTCCTGTCGGTGAGCAATTCTCGGTGCTGACTCCAAGCCACATATCCCAGAAGTTGGCACCCGTGTTCCTTAAATCCAGCACCCGCAGTTTGCACCTCCTGGGCCGAACCTCCTGGAAAAGCAGAACGTCAAGCGCTTCAAACACGGCTTCAAAGTCCGCGGCCCTCTTTGGGGCATGATCAGGGGGACGCTGCATCAGGAACCCCAGAGGGAGGACAGTGAAGGGCCAGGCTTGGGCCAATGCCTTCAGTAGCTGGGGGTGGCCTCCACCACGGTAGGCCATGGCGAACAGGTACGGGAAGAGCTCGGCGGGCAGGTACTCCAGAGCGGCAATGGCCGAGGCCTGGTCCCTCAGCAGGCGCTTTGCTGCCAGCACCAGGAGTGTGGGTGGCGTCTGGATGCTCATCTTCAAGGTGCTCAGAAAGGAATCCTGCAGAAACGTCTGCTGTGACCGGGTTGGCTGGGGCTCAGATCTCAGACCTGGTGGAGAACCACGGAACTGACTGCAGAGGTGGAGGACTCTGAATCTCTCCTCTGGTGCCTGAGGTTTTTATACACCTTCCCAAATGCTAACATCCAATCAGAACCCCTGGTCTAAACCCCATAATCCTAATGGGATTTATGTGTTCCTCCCTATTAATTGATTGACCCAGATATCCATTTAGGAAAGAGAAAGTTAGGGAGGGGCAAGGTTGAAGACTGGCTCATTGATTCCTTCCAAAGGCCCATAGCTATCATACTTGGTGTGAGAGAGTAAAGGGTGTAATGGGTCAACATTTTACAGTTTAACCAAATGTCTGTGAAGCGTTTTCCCGTGCCTCATCTCATTTGATCCTCACAGAAGTCCTGGAGTGGGTAGATAGGAGACTCGGTAGAATCCTTTTTTCTTTTCATTAGCAAGACGCAAATAGCGATATTAAAATATTTCTTCTAATTAATTCCTTTTAATGTGCACAAATCCGTGCACCAGGACACTAGTTAGTACGTAAAAGGGAATGAAGCACTGACACATGCTACGACATGGATGCATCTTGAAACATCATACTAAGTGAAAGAAGCCAGACACCAAAGGCTCCAAGTATATGATTCCTTTTATATGAAACTAGAGGCCCGGTACACAACATTTGTGCACTTAGGGTGTGGGGGGTCCCTCAGCTCGACCTGCACCCTCTCCAATCCGGGAGTTTCTGTCTG